ACTAGCCATAACTGGCGTGGAACTAACCATCTTGCTTCTTCGCTGGACGGTAACTCTAGAGTGTAGTAGACAGTTGGGCTTAGGTGGTAGAGGGGAGAGTCTAGACGTACCCTGGGGAAAATCATAGCAGGGAACTCTGAAAAAGGGTGGAGGAAGATGTCCTGTAGCTCAACACCTACACAAATACATGGAAGCCAGGCTGCTTTCCTTCGGCTGTTTATGTAACAGCGTGTTGTGGTTGAAGCTAGATACCACACAGAACTTTCTTAATCCAGATATTTAAGAGATGTGGTCATGACGTTCTGCAAACAGTAGCCTACAGACTGAAGTTATTTTGTGTGTGGTGGGCAGCTGTCAAAACATGTCTGACAAGCATTTGTGGCATATTAACTTCCTGGGAAAAGGCGGGAAAATTTGGCATCTATCAAGGTGTTAACTGTGTTTGGAGGCTGAACAAATATGTATGAAAAAGAACACCTCAGGATTAATTTATTTTAGCTCTTAGTGAAGACTTAAGAGATTATTTATGTACAGCATTATTTTTACCTTTTACAATGGTAAAAAAGATATTAAGTGCCATTGTGTATTTCAAACTTACCAGTTCCGAGGTACTTTGTCATGTTCACACTCCACTTGACTCTGAGAGAACATTATTTGTTTTCCTGTCCATGGCATTTATCTTTGAACCTCTGACAGTTATTATGATAGATGAACTCTGAAATCTTGCAGACCTCAGTCTCATCGACAAAGAATCAGATGATGTCTTGGAAAGGATCATGGATGAGAAAACAGCAAGCGAGCTGAAGATTTTGTATGGTCACAGTGGACCTGTCTATGGCACCAGCTTCAGTCCCGATAGGTAAAATAAGCTTACAAGCTAACTAGTTTGCTTGCCTTGGGTTTTACTTGTACGCTTCTGAATGCAAACGTGTTCTTAATGCCACTTTTTCCAGAAGGTTAAAGCAATTCTTGTTTATGCAGCTTATAAGAAACTCCGTGCGAGTGTAAGCGCCTGTTATGCTGGGGGTGTTGGGTGCTGTCAGCTCTTGTTGAAATCAACTGGAGTGGAGGGTGCCGGCACCCTTTTTGAGGTTCAGGGCTTAGATGGTGAAGTCCACCATCTTTTTTGCAAAGTGTAGGTTGAGCTGGGTTTTAAATAACTGAATTGGAGAGAGGAAAAACACTGCAGCATTGATTTTGCTTATAGTACTGCAAAACATTAAACCAGACCGAGTAGCAATCATTGCACTTCTCCAAATTTCTCGTACTCTATTGAGACTTTATTTGCAACATGTGTGGAATAATGTCTTTAAAATACGCGATTTAAAACCGTTATGTAATTATGAGAGTCTGGACAGTGGAAAAGAGGTTTAAATGCCTAAAGTTTTGCTTTTGTATGTGTCTACTCAGGAAAACAACTATCACAGAAACACAGCTGAGAAGTAAACTTTGTGTGGAACGTGAATATAGAGTCTAAAATTATGAATTGAGAGTGGGAACATGACATGAATTCTCTTTCAGGGAATCCTCAAAAATTGTTTAGAGTTACATTAAAAGATTGGTTTTTAAAGTAATAGTGTATCAGTTTACTAGTACTTTTTTCATATAACTGGAATTCCTGGGTAAAGACCAGCTCTGGTTTTTTGGTGGTGGTTTATTTTTTTAAATTTTATTACATTTTTTTCCTCCCCTCAGCATTCCTGTGTCATCAGAATCGGTCACCAACATCCAGCCACCTCTTTTTTGCATAAGGGCCTAGGCTGGATTCTGCTTGAATCGGTTGTTGTTGTTTACACCTCCAAAATGCTGATTTATGTGTGACACGCTGAACAGATGCTGCTCAGTGGGCAGTTTTTCTTAGCATAGATATCTCAGACCATTTATGCAGTGGTTATACAGGCTGTGCATAGGTTTGATGTGTAACATCGTAGCTTTTTCCTGTGACAGGAACTATCTGCTCTCCTGCTCTGAAGATGGCACCGTCAGATTGTGGAGTCTCCAAACGTTCACGTGTTTGGTGGGATATAAAGGACACAACTATCCAGTATGGGATACACAATTCTCTCCGTATGGTTATTACTTTGTGTCAGGGGGACATGACAGAGTGGCTCGGTAAGAAACTGGATGGTTTTTTTTACTTGTCTGGGTCAGTTACTGGTGGATTAGCCCTGGAATTGATGAGCTGATATACACTACACTATTACTGGAAATTAATTTTATTTCATGTCAATTAAAATACTGCACAAATGTTTTAATATAGGGTTTTTTAATCCCTCTTCAACACACATCAGCTTATTTTATGACTGAAGAGATGTCCTCTTGTGTGGCCATCTGATGATAAGTATGCCAGTTGTTTAACAACTTGACAGAACAGTCTTTATTTCTCCCTTCTGAAAAGTATACTTTTCCAAAACACATCCTGCTAATTCAATAATCTGACCAGTAAGAAACCTCTGCATAATTACTTCCTTTTATTCCTCATTGTGCAACAGTCTGAACTTCATTAGGGTCCTTATCAGTAAAGCTTTTTTTTTTTTCAGTCTGTGGGCAACGGATCACTACCAGCCTTTACGGATATTTGCTGGCCACCTTGCTGATGTGACGTGTACCCGTTTTCATCCAAACTCTAACTATATTGCCACGGGCTCGGCAGACAGGACTGTACGGCTCTGGGATGTCTTGAATGGGAACTGTGTAAGAATATTCACTGGACATAAGGTACAGGCTTATCACTCATGGCCTGAAAGTGATTTTATTTCTGCGGTGGGATTCTGAAGAGTAGTGTCTGGAATGAATACGACTTGATTGACTGACTGGGAACAGATTTAACTAAACTTGTTTGGCCTCTCCCCCAAATGTCTGTTTTAGGGACCAATTCATTCATTGGCATTTTCTCCCAATGGCCGATTCCTGGCTACTGGAGCAACAGATGGAAGAGTTCTGCTGTGGGATATTGGACACGGCTTGATGGTTGGAGAATTGAAAGGGCACACTGACACTGTCTACGCACTCAGATTCAGTAGAGATGGGGAGATTTTAGCATCAGGTAAAACTCACTGGAAACAGCGAAGCCTCTGTTGGGTTCCATAAGTCTGAAGAGGAATGATGTAATTGGTTCCTTAAATTGAGGAAGACCAAGTAGAATCGTGTGCTTAGCAAAAGCAGCAGCTTAGAACTGCTGGTACAAGGCAAGTACTTCACCTGGCTGCGAAGTATTGACCTCTCGCTATCCCAGGAACTGAAGGAAAGGGGTTTTGCAGTTAGACAGCAGCAGAGGCTGGGATGTGTGTACAGTGTTGGGGATGGAATCTGACGTTAGGAGTAACTCTAGGGCAGACAAGAAGTGGCTGGACTAGAGCGGGGCATGCAGCAGGACTAAAAAGAAGAGAGAGGAAGGGATAGAAAGGAAGATGTGTTTATCCACACCCTTACTATTTCCTCATGGCAGATTTTTGATGTAGAAATGTGTGTTTAGTATTAATGATAGCTCTATGAGCAGCAGAACTTGTGAAGCCTGCTGGATTTTCCTGCCTGTCCACGTGGATTCTCTGGATGCTAACAGAGCAGAGCTCATTTGCCAGTTTTCCTTCCGTGGAGGCACAAACTTTTGTCTCTCCATGATTAGTGAACTGTAATGTATAGGTATTTAATGAATTTGAAACTTGTTAACTTGAAATCAGCCATTGAGTTCAAGTTACTGACAGAAGAAACAATGGACAAACACTAATTATATCAGGGTAATTTCCTCATGAAACCAGGCTATTCTAGATGTATCGAGTAGCATGTTCCTAAATGCAGCGCAGTGAGATTCCTCAGCGAGCCACTACTGCAGGAGTGAAAGCTGACACACAGGTTTGATCCAGCCTGCTGGGTGGTTACTTGTTTTTTACCAATGCACCTCTGAAAGTTCAGGCCACTGGGCCTGCAAAATTCTGCTGTCTTCCCTGTAGCAAAGAAACAAACTGTTATGATGTGACTTGGAATCATAAATGTTGCCTGAAATTGGCATCTAACGCACAGGAGGGCCCTGCTTTTTCAGTGCTAGGGGATCTAATCCAGACCCAAGTGTTTTCAGAGTAGTTCTCTGTGTGTTATCCACAGGGCATTCAGGTTAGATTACAGAAAAGCTGAAATCCTGGTGGATTTCTGTGTGCATTCAGTATGTTAGAGACTTGTTAAAGTCTCTTTCCTTGCAGGATGAGGGCATAAGTCTACAGTTAGGAGCAAACCTGCTTCTTGAGCTTTATGTTCTGTTAACTCGCTCCCCAGTAACTTCTTTAATGTACCTTTTTTATTAAAAGACACAACTTTAAACTGTTGACGTGCCTTTTTGGTTTTTTAGGTTCAATGGATAACACCGTTCGTCTGTGGGATGCTGTGAAAGCATTTGAAGATTTAGAAACTGATGACTTCACAACAGCCACTGGACATATAAACTTGCCTGAAAACTCACAGGACTTGTTACTAGGTTCATACATGACCAAATCAACACCGGTTGTACACCTCCATTTCACACGCAGAAACTTGCTGCTGGCTGCAGGAGCCTACACTTCGCAGTAAGCCAGGAAGCTGTGAGACTGACTGCGCCAAGTCGCTGCAGTAGTGACCTCCGGACGTGAGAGGAGGAGGAGGAGGAATGTCTTGTGCAAGGTGGACCTAGTCGGTTGCAGGAAAAATGGAACTATGTAAACTAGAGCAAGCAGCATCTTCTCAGTTCTGCTATTTCATACTGATCCACAGTTTGAAAGGGCTGGAGATTGGCAAGACATCGTGGCTGTAAAAGAAGGAATTGTTTATGGTGCTTTTGAGGAAAATATATATATGTGTATATGAAAATGGCTGTCTCAGAGATGAGATTGAGCTCTGCTGAAACTTGTGGAAAGTGAACAGCCTTGGTATGTGTTCTCCAACGATTTTTTTAAAGCACTTAATTTATGGTTAGCAAACGTTTCGTCCGTTTCAAACACAAGCGAAAACTGTTCAGTTTCAGAAAGAAGAATGTAGTTTAATTCGCTATGGCCTGGGCGACAGGTACAGTGAGTGTCATAGCAACACACAGGGCATTGAAAGAGCAGGTCCAGTGGGCAGAGCCTCACGGGGAACTACCCCAGTTTCTGTGTACGGGTCTTACGCAGCCAAGTACTAAGTCCTGGAAAGATTTCGAACTCCTGTGCTCTTTTGAGGTACCAGAAACACAGGTCTTGTTCTGTTCTCACAGGTAGCCAGTGCTGTTAGTGTCATAAGCAACCAGAAGTGCAATGGGAACTTTATTGACTTTCTATTGCATGAAAAAAAAAAAAACTCAAACCAACAACAAGGGAACAGAAACACCCTTTGTTAAAAAAGCGGACTTAAACCATTTTGTGTTGTATTAGATCTAAAAGAACTTTAAAAGCCTGCGTTCTGTCTGCATAAAGTTTACTATATCCAAATGTAAAACTAGACAAGAAATGGAAACGTTACTGCAGAGTAAAAGGATTACTCGGTCCCACGTGTATTACCAGTCTGCTTTGGGAAGACCATCTTGTGTGCTGAAGGGACAGTTTCCACCCACAGAAACACTGTGCTCACTAAGTCCTCCGGGCCAACCCATGCAGCTCAGGGCTTTATTTCTACGGAAACATGGCAAAACACTGGGAAGTATGACTTCCATCTGGGTCTTGGAACAGAACACACCGCCACTGAAGGACAGGCCCAGTTTGGTGTGGTTTGGGGTTTGTTCTTGCTTTGGGGTTTTTTGTTGTTGCTGGGGTTTTTTTTAGTCTCTTACAAGCTGTACGCAGGGAAACCTGTGTTTTGTTCCTTCCTCGTTACTTTCCAGTTAAGAGCTTGGACACTGCAACAGCCTGCTGGCTCTCTGGTGAGTATAAACCCACGACTTTCTAAGGTAAAGTACATGGAGAACTACCTCCCCTCTCATTCCTTCTCCGACCCTAACTCTTGGAGTAAAGGTGTATTACAGGCATTATACATCAAAATAAAGGATGGAAAATTCATTAGGAAGCTCAGCTGGAAATTGTTTAAATAAAAATATTAAAACTAAATTATTATGGAATTTTTTTGTGTGTGTAATGGTACCTCAACAAAATTTCTTAGCTCTCCACGTGACCAGTTATGGTGAATCAAACAAGTTACCTAAAAAGCTTGTACAGTTTTGACAGCTTAAAGAAAACACTGCCACATTCTGCCTTTGTATGTTGTACAGTTTTATACTTTTGATATTCTAATAAATACTAAAACCACATAGTTTGTGTCTCTATGTTACAAGAAGGTATATTCTTCCCCCGCTGGCTGCAGTGGAAGCAAAGGTACTCTGCCAAAAGAAACAAAGCGATTCGGAAAGGGTTCAATGACTAGCCATTTCACCTAAATCTCGTTTAGGTGATGGGTTCTAGCTAATTACGCCAATGACACTGTCAGAACAACCATTTTTCACCTTGGAAGTTGTGTAACAGCAGCGGCCATTTGTGTAAAACAAACTTGGAGGGGAGACTAGATTTATCCCAGCATGTACAAATGGCTTTAAGATATGTGAACTAGAGCGTGAGAGCACAAAGGCCCTGTGATATACCCCTTTTTTTCCCAGCTGCCATGCCTACATCCCACTGCCCTCAGCCTGGGAAGCGTATTTGCACGCTTTAGCATCAGACCCAGGTTCAACACCTGCTGCTGGCACCCTTCTGCAAAGGACGGCGCGGTATTACCACGCCAACACATCAGCACTAACCGACAGCCGAGGAAGGCACCGAGTTTTAACTGCGGTAGAGAAAGACGCTGCACAGAACGTGACAGAGAAGGTTTGGTGGTGGGCAGGGAGGGGGCTGAATATGTCTGACTGTGGTAGGATCACCTCATTCATTAGGACTCTGTGTCCAGGAAAGACAAGCACTGAACTACTTCAGTCGCTGTTTATGAAGATGCAGTTACAACATCAGCAAATTAAGCCATTTTCTGTCTGGCAGTTACCTCTGCAAGAGAGGCCAGTGACAGAAAAGCCTCCAACACCACAGTCTGATCGATCTATTCCATGCAAAATACGGACAACTGAGGCAGAAGTTGTAATCTGCATTGTGTTCATAACAGAGAAGTAGTCCCAGTTTCCATGGAAGCTGCTAGCTTGGAATGCAAGAAACGGGAGGAAGAAGGTGACTGCAAACCACGTAAGCTTACTGCCATCCACTGCGCCACGGGGGCGTGGGGATGCTCTCTGATCAGCTGTGAGCTCTGGGCCAGCACTATGGTCGTGCTGCCTTTCCTACGTTACTACCAGGTGCTCAGAACACTTCAGAAGGTAACAGCAGAAGAGTTTAGTTAGGATAGGAATGACAGGATTCAGCTACTCCATCTCCACTACAAATAACTGGTTTGGACATTAAAAAAAAACCCCACAAAGTCCCACATTTATGCTTTTTTTGCACCGTTTCATATTTCCAAGGAAACAAGTGATTATGTATATTTTATTAGCCACAACAGGTCATCAGCTTGCATTACAGTGACACAGACTGGAGGTTCAGACATGCGAGCAACCTGCCAAGAGAAGAGAGATCAAACATAGCATGCTGTGCACAGCGGTACTCGTGACGGAGCAACCCCTGCCCCACACCCAGACCGGTTTAGGTAGGAGCAGGCACCGTTCAGCACACCCAGGAAGAAGTGACCGATGTCCCTTTAGCGTACAACAAGGATGCTCAAGCTTACTGTTCCCTACTCCTGCTTGCAGACTACGAGGACAGCCCACAGGTGTTTTCAAAATGCCGTTTCGGTGGAAATGTTGTACTTGAGAGTGGCTCTAGAGTTCTACAACACTTGGTTGTGGCTCTGCTAGCCCCGTCAGTTCTATGTGGGCCTTGCACGATCAGGTGTGCAATATATACAGTTCCACTGCATGGTGCTCCTTCACTGTGTTCAGGGGAAGGTTTTAATGCCTGCTCGGAATTTGCCAACATAACTAAGTCCTCAAGTACTACTTTATTATTTCAATACCCTACAAAGCAAGTTATCCTTGTTTTACAGCAAAGGGCAGACCAGAAGCACCTAACAGTTGTAGGCAAAGCCTGACACACCTAGCTGCAACATCCTTCCGTTCCTGAACCCTTGCTTGCTCTTCCTCCCCGCATGCTGCCCCTAGTCCCATTTACTGAGTTAGAAGAACAAAGAGAATACTGGTACCGCAAGCGTTCTGCATCCCCCTTTAACAACCTACTTCACTCAGAACGCCCCAGATAAGCTGATGCTGTAGTTTAGTTTGGGTTTAAAATGCTAAGTATGAAGTTCCCGTGCCTGTGCTTCTCTCTCCCTCTCTCATGACAATGAGCAACTTTTCCTCTGTCACTCTTTCTTCCTGGGCTGGTACTGGTCTCGGAAGAACACCAGCCACTTACCATTTACTTATCTGCCACAGCAGGAGTTTTCTTTTTAGGTCTAAGCTTGAAATACAAGATGAGCATTGCAACGCCTGTGTACGTTGCTATTACATACTGGAAGACATAAAAGTTAAGTTTAGTTTCAGTCTAAACCCCAGAAAACACCATCATACTAGACTAGGAAAGTTAATACACATAGTACATACATTCCTCCTGCCTGTGATGGTGTAGGAATTGAAGTACTTCTGAAATCCAGTGAACTGGTGTTGAGATCCCGAGTCATGGCCAGCCATGGTCACTTGTCCTAACAAGCAATATGAGACAGTTAATGAGTTTTACAGTCAGTTGGATGGAACCAGTACAAAAATCAAACTAAACTCTGCGCTGAACTTCATACTTCCATTGCTATTAAATCAGCTTTCGGGACATTCAAGAGACAACGGATATAGGTAAGGAGCAGGCACATTCAGAGCACTGTACCTTCAGGTACAAAACAGGTGACACAAGGGCAGACAAGGAAACAAGGGTTCTGAAGGGAAGAACATTTAGGATTTTCAGCGTTCATTCAACCACATTTAAACATGAAAAAACCCCAAAAAGTCAATATGATGATGATGACAAAAGGGAAAATTCCTGAAAGCACTTATAAAGAAGAAGCCTGCCAATCCTGCCTACACAGCCACTCAATACAGGCCAATTTCTACATTTGTTCAGGAATCTGCAGTACCTAATTAAGATAAATCTTCATTGGTTTGGCTAAGAAATTACTTTAATTGCATATCCAAAAACCTGGTGACAAGATTCAGCCTAGACCACTACTCTGTGATTCAAAATGCCACTTTGCAACCTTTACACCACAGTAAAGTGCATGAGTCGTTAACAAGAACTGCCCAGCTCTCAGCTGCACATTTCTATTGCATCTTACTCGCCCACCCTAGTATTCACAGATCTGGCTAAAACCACATTTTTTTTCCCTAGTTAGCTTTCAGCTAAATCAACAACTCACTTGAGCCAGCTACAAAGCCTCAGAAGCCCTTTCACAGGAACAAAACCACCAAGTACATGGGGGCACGCTTTTACATTTTGCCCTTCTGTGTCTGAACCAAAGGGTCTGCCCTAAGAAGTTAATTAACAAAAGCCTGGCAGGGCCTGCAGTCACTGAATGGTTGAGGCTGGCACTCTGGAGACTGCACAGTTCAACCCCAACCTGCTCAAAGCCAGGGTAGCTACAGTAGGTCACTCAGGACCAGTCAGGTTCTGAGTATCTCCAGGGATGGAGACTCCATAACTGCTCTGGGGAACCTGTTCCAGCATCTGGTCACCCTTATAATAAAAAGGGTTTTCCTTCTGAATGTTGAGAGATAATATTTTACTATTCTCAGGATGGACATTTGTTATCTCGTCACTCGCCTCAAAAGCGGCACACGTGCCACATGGTCACCCACCAAACCAGGCAGATGTTCTAGCTACCAGTACCCCAGAAGAGGGACACAAGAAACTGCTGTAGCAAGTACTATGTTCAATAACAGAGCTGTCATGGCTGTGAGAGTGGGGAGGCACTGGAACAGGTTGCCCAGAGAAGCTGTGGGTGCCCCATCCCTGGAAGTGTCCAAGGCCAGGCTGGATGAGGCTTTGAGCAACCTGGTCTAGTGGAAGGTGTCCCTGCCCATGGCAGGGGGGTTGGAACTAGATGGTCTTTAGGGTCCCTTCCAACCCAAACCATTCTATGATTCTTATGCCGACCCAGTAACACATCCCAGGTGTATAACCAGGTATGTGTGCCTGCAGCTGGACTGACTACTCCATAGCTACAAGTCTTAATGAAATAACCCCCCTACACATTTGGCATGCATGACTCCGAAAACCAAGGTCGTTTTCTTATGCCTGACCGAAGCAGAAGCCTGGAGGAGAGTCTCTGCGTCCCTCAGAGGACGGCTCAGAGCCCAGACATCGCAACACAGGTTTTGTTTTTCGGAGAAGCCCGGTGCTCTTGCCAGGCGCGGCCCGTCCCG